GGCAAGGGGCTTCTCTGAGTGGAACAGGGGACAGTTGCTGGCCTCTGTGTTCTTCACCTTGTAACTACGTGGGGAGCAGTTCTGCTGTATAATAAAGAACCTGTCTGGTCTTTGCCCCTGGTTCCTGAGAGAGAACCTCCAAATCCTTGGCATTTCCCAAGTGATGGGAGTATCTTTGCTGTTCATGGGGGGCCCCTCCACTGCTCCGCGTCTATGCTAATGAGGTGACTCAGGTTGGGGGCTGAAAAGACCAACCATGAGATTAGAGGGTTGGGGGTTTCAAGCCAGGTGCTATCAGCCTGACCTCTGGGGAGGGAAGGGAGCTAGATATTGAGTTCAACCACATGGTCAATCGTTCAATCAATCATGCCTTGTAATGAAACCTAATAAAAACTCTAGACACCAAAGCTCGGTTGAGCTTCCTGGTTGACGAACATATCAGTGTGTCAGGATGGTGACACATCCTGATTCCACAGGGAAAGGATGCCGAAGCTCTGCATCTGGGACCCTCCCAGACCTTGTCCTATGTGTCTCTTCATTTGGCTGGTCCTGATTTGTAGCCTTTATAATAAAACCGTAATGGTAAGTATAGCACTTTCCTCAGTTCTGTGAGTCATTCTTGCAAATTATTAAACCCAAGGGAGTCATGGAAACCTCCAAATTTATAGCCAGTTGGTCAGAAATGCAGGTGGCCTTGGGACCTCTGAACTTATGGCTGGAGTCTGAAGTAAGGGCAGTCTTCCTGGAGACGAGACCTTAAACCTGTGGAGTCTGTGTTCACTCCACGCGATCAGTATCTGAATTGTACTGCAGTATTGCAGGTTCACTCTGGGGGTCAGAACCAACTCCGGTGAGGCCAAGTCCTTGAAGTCAGTCTCACTGGGGTCCAGAGAGTCCATTTCCGTGGATATCGATGCCCTCTCCCTTGCCTGGGTCTCAAGACTTGGAGATTCCAGCAACCTGTCTCCACCCCTGGAAGGTTAACCTGCATAGCAAGCTGTAGTGAGCTCGGCCGCACACCCAGCTGAGTCAAGGGCATCAGCTCTTGAGAAACACGTGGGTCACCCTGACTCCTCCCGCTGCCCTGCTCCTCCCTGTCCAGCCAGTGGCTCAGGTCGGAAGGTTTGAGACACCTACTTAGAACGTTGACCGTGGACTCGGATGTCATCTGGGTGTTCATGGGCATCACATATTCTATGGTGAAGCAGCGTCCTCGCTCCTCACCTGTGGAGACAGAATTATTTACATTTCCAGGTCCTTCTTGAACATGGATTTGAAGTTAGTACCTTCAAATGGTATCTCCAAATGCCCCTAGGATCTTTGACCTGCTGTGTCTTTGTACCGGGCTGGGTCCTGTCCGTGGCTGGTGGCCCCCAGCAGGGCTGGGAGCACATCCTGACATCACGTCCTTCTTGGAGAAGCACCCATGAGGATGGACCCGGGCCCTGAGAGTTGCATGAAAAGAGGTCAGCGCCGCAAACTCTCTGCACTGAGCAAACGGCTGGTGTGTGCCATCGCTTCTGAACAGATGGCGCCAACGATGGCATGTGGCTGACAAACTCATCAGTGTGGGTGTCACAAAGCACAACCCCAAAAGCTTTGTCAACCACTTTGGGAACCAGATCCTGGTAGCTTCAAACTCTGCTTCAGGTTTAAGCAGAGACCAATGCTGCACAGTCTGGGGTGGTGGGAGAAGAGGTTGGAGTTGGGTGCCATTCCCAGAACAGACTCGACAAGTGACCAAAAGGCCAGGACTTGAGGTGTCCCCCCTGCTAAATGCTGATGGCGGCCAGCCACCACCTCATCCCTCACAGTCCTACCACACATCTGGGGTTAGGGGGAGGGATGCTGGGAGAACCAAGTCGTGTCTCTTCTCAATGCACCTGTAGGTACAGGGTCCTACCGAGAAAAGCCCAGTGACCACACTGCAGTGGTCCTGGCCAGACCAGGCTGCAGCTAGTCTCAGGTGACATGGAGATGCTTTTCTTGTACAGGCTTGTCTGGGGCCCTGACAAAGGGAGTAGCATCCCCAAGGGTTCCAAAGAAGCCCTAGCAAGCTGACGGGAGGCCCTGATAGGTGGGCTTCACACCTGCACCACCCTGCAGAACTGGCAGGACCTCATTTGTGTTTGCTCTGTGCCATTTCGTGAACAGAGCAACAGCTAAGTATCTCCCGTCCTGCAAACTAGTGGATACAAGTGAAGTTCAGGAGACTTAACGTCCCCGAATCTTCACTTCCTCATTTGTAAAGTGGAAATAACAAGTCGTATGTTGCAGTGTTGTTGGGGGTTACATGGGATCGACTGTGCAATGAGCGGAGGCGGGCAAGAGCACTTAGAGCTGTGCAATGCCGCTCTCGTTCAGCCCCGGGGAAGCTCGGAGTGTGGCAAGGCATGGTGACGTTCAGCTTTCAGGAGGGAAGGCCTGGGAGATAAAAAGACTTGCTCAAATGGACATGGACAGTCAGGGCTTGAGTTTGGAACGGGGTCCTGGTCTCTGCAGGGAGCACCAGGTAGAGTTTATAGGGATTGTTTATGGAAAACTCTCTTTCCAGTATCTCTTGGGCATCACTTCCCAAGAAGGGACCACTTGGGGCAGGTTTTCCTGGGAACAGGGCTGTCCCCAACCCACAGTGCTCTTACCTGCGAGGAAGCAGACCCGCCAGAGGCCTGAGTGCAGGGACATCTTGGTCTCAGTGCTCTGGTTCTGGGGCAGGATCACGCCCTCTTCCAGGTACAGCCAGTAGTCGGTGCTGACCGCGATGCCCAGGAGGCCCAGGCCGCAGACAGCAAAGACGCTGCTCAGCAGGGTCAGGGCCTTCCTCCCGCAGGCACTCATCTTCCCGGATGCTCGCTGGGCAGCCCCCAGCACAGAGTGGGCTCTGGGGGCAGGAAGAGAGGGTGAACAGGTGGTCATGGTCACAGCTCTTAGAAGACCAAATGAGGGCCTTGGGGCAGTAACTAAAGTCAATTCCGCTTGGCTCAAGGGAAGAATGAAGATCACCAGGCCAGTCCCTGGACAATACAGTACAGAGGAGCCACCACTCCCTCTCCACCTCAGGAATTCACAGCTGTCTTTGCAGGCCACAGCACAGGTCCCCTGTCCTCCCTGGGAGTCCCCCTTGCTGGGTAGTGCCATTCATTCATTCAGCAACCCATTGTGCCAGACATGGGAGATAGAGACATTGAACGTGACACTGCCCTTGCCCTTGGCGAGCTCCCCATCTAGAAGAACAAAGACACCCAAGGCATAAAATGCAGCCCAATGGGGGCTGTGCTAGAGACCGGCCCAGGAAGAATGGAGGAGAGAGCTCTGCTTGGTGGGCTTCCCTGTGCTGCGAAGTTATTCTGAGCCTCAAATGTACTCTGTGAGAGTAGCCACCGCCAGGAGAAATGGCGCAGCTTTGGAAAAAGGTATCTTTGTCATATGACTCTGATTGTAGGAACAGGTCAACATAAGTAAAGAAGCCACATCAGAGTCCAAGTTCAATGGTCCCCTTCATCCACCTAATCAGAAATGGTCTGAGTCTTGCCTGCTGAGCACACCACACTGGCAGGAGCCAGCTCTGAACCAGTCAGAGGGAAGCTGAGATTGGGCCGGCCCAGTGGCGCACTGGAGAGTGCGCCACTTGGGAGTGCGGCGGCGCTCCTGCCGAGGGTTCGGATCCCATGTGGAGACCGGTTCCCGCTCACTGGCTGAGCGCGGTGCGGGCGCGACACCGAGGGTTGCGATCCCGTTACTGGTCAGTAAAAAAGACAAAAAGGAAAAAAAAAAAGAGGGAAGCTGAGAGCCTGTGCAAGGTGACACCTACGACACCTGCCGGGACCCGGCACTGGCTCAGGGCTGGGAAATAGCAGGGAGCAGGGCAGAGGGTGTCAGCCCCAGTGGAGCCACAGCCCGGCTCGGCACTTCTGAACACCTGATTCCTAGGCACCGCTCTTAGAGATCTGATACAACTGGGCTCAGGTGGGGCCTGGGCAATGGTATTTTTAAGATACTCCTGGGTGATTCTAATGTGCAGCCAATGTTGAGAACAACTGATCTTTGCTACTCAAAGTGTGGTCCGTGGACCACCAGCATTGGCATCCCCAGAGAGCTTGGTAGAAAGGTGGAATCTCTGGCCCCTCCAACTTTCTAAATCAGAATCTGCATTTTAACAAGATCCAGGTGAGCTGTCTGCTCGCTAGAGTCTGAGAAGCTTTGTGCCAAGCGAACTGGTGACAACATTATAACGTAGCCACTGCTACGATGCGGAAAGCCCCTGATGTGATGTGAGCCCAGAAGGAGCTCACCCACCCAGTGGGGCTGGAGGGGGCAGGCAGAGCCATCTCTAGAAGAGGGTGGGCCTGGGGCGAGTCAGACAGGGTATCTGGCCTAAGCCAGTTGTGGCTGCAAGGTTGCCATGCCGACAGCATCTCTCATTGACTCCTTGCAATATTGCGAAGTCAGAAATCTTGACATGGGATGTTAGCAATGATCAGGAAAGAGGTGCAGAAGCACCTCCCTGGGGTTCACTAAGCTCAGGGTCCTAGGGGTGTACCAGGGGTCCTACCTAAGGGAAAGCATGTCTCAGCTGAGTCCTGAGGCACAGGGGGATATTGAGACAGTGGAAAAGGGACAGAAACCAGATGGGTGTGCAGAGTCTGAGCTCGCTGTAGAAGAGGGAAGAGTGCAGGAGATCAAAGCTCCTGGTGAGAAGGGGGAGCATCCTGGCCTAGCAGCTGCCCGCGGAGAGTCGATCTACAGAATTAGCCACACGCTGGCTTCCTGCAGGCATGCAGGAGTGTGTGTCCATGTCCACAAAGGCACCCTATCTTACAAGGCTGGCAAGTACAGGGGTTTAAGCCATGACAGTCCTTCCTATATTGGCTTTGACAAAGAAGAGAGAAATGAAATGTAAAACAGTGGGCCCTCCTGGAGATCCAAGTCATTCCCCACGCAACAGGGTGAGAGGTGGAGCAGGGCAGCTTGCATCGAATATAAGTATCTAATAAGGCACCTACTATGTGTGGAGCCCTGTGCTTGCTGCGGAATCTGAGGTGCTGTTGCTTGCAGAGTTCGCAAGCTGGAAAAATGTGAAAACACAGCATCATGTTATGACTCAGGATGGGACAGTCTCCTAACAGGCAGACCCCGGGTCCTGAGGAGGGGATGGAGGCAGGGCAGGCTGCCTGGAGGAGCCGGGTTCCATGCAGAGCCCTAGGGAATGGAGGCAGCAGCACAAGGACGGTTAGCGGGGGTAGGGAAGGGGAAGAGAGTGGACGGATAAAACCCCTGAATGAGGAAAGCAGCCCCGTACACTGCAAAGAGGCCTGGGACGCAGGAAACCTGGACTCTCCGTTCAGCCCTAAATAGCCGTGTGATGTTGGCAAATTAAACTCTCTGAGGCCCATTTTTCTTCTGGGTTACACAGAGAAGAGAATAATAGTACGAGCTAAAGTATATTAAATTTATCATTGCTAGGCCTCCCGCTGAGCACTTCACCCTCTGCTTTAATCCTTACAACTCTATTACCATCCCCATTGTACAGATGAGCAAGCCAAGGACCGGAGAGGTTAAGGAACTTGCACAAAATCACTCGGCTAGCAAGTGGTGGTGCCTGCATTTGAACCTTACCCTGCCTTATTCCCAAGCCCTTTCTGGTATCCCCCCCATGAGTGATTTCCAAAGTGGGTTTCATGGAGGAATAGTTCCATGGAATATTCTAGAAAAAAGGACTCTGGTGGAAAAAAGCTTGGGGAGCTCTGCATATAGCATCCTTGAACAATCATGCTGCACATTATGCCACAGGCCTGAAAAGCCTGTTTAGCTTTGCTTGTTCCAGTATGTTCCAAATGTATTTGACCACAATATGGCATCGTGTTCTGTGAAACCCACTTTGAGAACCATGCTATCCCCCCAAAGAAGAAGACCTGCCCTGCACACTGCACACAATTGCTGGGGTGATTATACGCAACGGCGGATACGACGGTGCTTTGAGAAAACCTAGAGCACGATCCTGGTGTGAGGTGTTATTACCGAGCAACAGTGAACTAAGCCTCTGCTTCTTGCAAAGCAGAGCGATCGGAGCTTCTGAAATGGAACGGCCATTGCCCAGGCGACGCTGAATGCGGCGGATACGACGGTGCTTTGAGAAAACCTAGAGCACGATCCTGGTGTGAGGTGTTATTACTGAGCAACAGTGAACTAAGCCTCTGCTTCTTGAAAAGCAGAGCGATCGGAGCTTCTGAAATGGAACGGCCATTGCCCAGGCGACGCTGAACAGCCAGTCGTAATGTTAAGCTAGGCAGATAGATGAAAAAGATTTGAGCTTTGGAGATTTGGAAAGATGAAAGTAAAGAGGAGATTGGATCTGAATCTATAAAAGCAAGAAAAAAAGAAAAGGCCGAAGGTGACCTTGCCCGCCACACTACAACAGCAGGCTCTAAAGCCTGGAGCGTGCTTAGGAGAGCCGAAAAGTCTTATCCCTTTCCAGAGTATGGAACACATTTATGGAACTCTCCATGGGGTAAAAAAATACCCAATTTTATTCATTACAAAATTATATGTATGCTTCTATTATGTAATCATATATATTTGTAAAAAATATGACTGAGTACTGATAGCTACCATGCACCATGCAAAACCCTTTATGTGCAGTAGCTCATCAGGACCTCATGATAATCCCATGAATAGGCACTATTAGCCCCATTTCACAGATGGGAAAACTGGGGCTTACAAATGTTAAGTAGCCCACAGGACATCGTAGGTGGGTGGCAAACTGCGGATTCAAACTCAGGTCTAACTCCAAAGTCTATGCTTAGACTACACCATCTCTCTACTGAAGAAATAAATGCGTTCAAGGAGTGTTGGGGTGAAGCAGAAACATCCAAAGTCACTCACCAAGGGAGTCTAGAAGTGTATGAGACACAATATTTGGAAAATCTTCTTTGTGAGTGGCCAGGGGTTACATAACACTTGCTTGGTACCACAGGGCTTGCTATGGGAAGTGATGTGGGCACATCCTCTGGTGTCAGTTTGATGGAGGGACACTTGACTCAGCCTTTCTGGCTCTGAAAACCACCTTGGAGGGCGGCAGGACTAATATTTCTCTCAAATCACACCTAAGGAAATCAAGTTCCAGAGCGGAGCAGTACCTGAGATCACCCAGCCAAGGGACAGGGTGTGAGCTGGAAATCTATTGAATGCTGATCCAATGCTTTTATTTCTGTATTGCACAGAAAATTACAATGCAGAGCGTGGAAGGTACCTGAACTTCCCCACTCTGAAAACCACCATTACTAGTTCTTTGCTGTCCAGTCTTTTTTTCCTGTTATTGTGCAAGGGTGTGTACATATTCTCCCACCCAAAGACTTCGGCGGGGGCAGGAGTCCCCTTGAAGACGCTGGTCTGGCATGGATTCCTATTTCCCACCAGGCCCTTCTCTGCTTTGGCATGGCTGCTTCTCTACCCCATGATTTCGATTGTTTTGAAGAGGGAGGCAGACATTTTCATAAGTTGCTGTCCTATTTCCCACCAGGCCCTTCTCTGCTTTGGCATGGCTGCTTCTCTACCCCATGATTTCGGTTGTTTTGAAGAGGGAGGCAGACATTTTCATAAGTTGCTACCACAAGAGAAGATGTTTATGCTATAATGTTAAATGAGTAAAGTTGGAAAACCACACACTTAACATAAACTCAACTGTGTAAAAAAAATTCAGACTGGGAAGATATAAACCAAAATGTTGATGGATGCTTCCAGGTAATAGGTTATGCATATTTTATTTTCTTTATACTTTTCTGTGCTCAATAAAACTTCTCAAAGAACACGTATTATTTCTATTACCAGATGAGAAAACAAAGTTAAAGATTAGAG